TCAGTTTCTTTATCTAGTAAATTAATGCTTGTTATTTAATGTACCTACATATAAAAATAACAGTTTTCTTACCATTTCTTACTAAATATTTATCCATATTAGTGGTAAGTTAAAGAAAAATATTTTGTGAGTTGCATATGCAGAAGAAACCTTAGTATTACTTTGTGAACTAAACTAACAAACTATAATAGCAAACTCCATATAGAGAAACATAACTTTCTTAGACATAAAAATGTGGGAATTCCCTCTTTCTTTGTGATCAGTGGTGCAAAAAATAGTATGTATATGATAATTACATTGTCGCATTAAAAAAGTATGAGTAAAATTATGGCTTTAGAAATTGGAATTAAAAAATTTAAAGGTAAAAACTGCAAAATCTGCATAATTTACAGAAAAACTTACTTTTTTAAACAAAAAACTTTAAAACTTTCAATGCTTAGAAAAACTGCAAAATGCAGATAAATCTGCACATTTGGCAACGCTGCTGACAACTATTGTCGTAAAAATCATATTGTGGAAATTACAAACTCACAATACATATGTATATCCTGCTCAAAAAATGAATGGTATAAAAATAAAATACTGAAATGTATACTTCAATGTCGGGACGGCGCGAACGCCATTCCCGGCTACCAAAAATTTTACGCACGAGTTATTCACATTAGGAATAATCGCGGAGGTCAACTCAATCGTAAAGTGCAATGATCAAGCCTCACTCCGGGGGAACCGCCTTCATGATCACGGTTAACCCCTACGCCAGGTAAGTATGCTTTTCTCATCTCAACTAATACCAAGAATTATAGAAACATAGATTGCGCATTCAGCATGTAAAAAAATGTTCGTTCTGCGCATGTACGTCATATCAGCCTAGAACTTGAGAAAAAATAAAAGCAAAACATAAACAAAGTGACATTTTTGGAAAATAAAAAATATTTCGATACAAATAAAATACATATTTTTAAATTTTAAAAATATTTATTTAACAATTAATGTACATCAATGTTTTAGTTTAATGTTTTATTGATCTTGCGTTTTCTTTGTTTGGAAAATTCAGAAATTTCGTGGTTTAGGGTTCTAATTTTAAAATACATACGAGCACGAAAGAAAAGTTTTTTAATTTTTTCGCTACAATCTATATTTTGAGCCAACTCCATGTGTTTTTTTAAAAAGCCTTCAGTGATAAGCAAGCCCTCGTTGTTTGTTGATTGAAAAATAGTGTGAAGTGCTTGTATCTTACACATCATTTCTTCAGTTGGTTTTGATAAGCCCCCTTCACTGAGGTGATCGATCCATGTATAAGGTTGAACTTGCAATTCATTTCTTGGCACAGAAATATTTGATTCTTGATCTTTCAACCTATGGCATATGTAACCAGCTAGGTTTTCTAAGCCATCATACGCCAAATCATCTAATTCTTCCGCCTCAACGTTTTCTTTGTCATTATGTGGGGGATTTATTTGGCTAAATATAATTCCTATAATATATGTACATTAATGAAGCCCATTGCAGTTTCCTAATTATTTAAAATATAAAATATATTTACCAGTAAGCGACTTTTGCGTTCTTTCCAAATCGGGTGTGTCGTCGACCTCAACGTTTGCTGCATTGGACATTACACCATCGTTGCGACCAAGTACATATGACCTTAAACGGTATCTGAACTCTTCTTGGTCGGGGTGATCATGCAAACCACCTTTAGATCGAATTATACCAAAAAAGTTTTCGAGTACGTCTTGATTAAGGCGATAGGTCAAAACATATTCACAATTATGCTTTGTTTTTAAACTCGTATAGAGACCCTTTAAGGCATTATTTGACTGTATAATACCTATAATTTAAAAAACAAACTTAAAAGATTAAGTGGTACAATGTAAGATGACGTTTTACCCTTTTGAAAAGGAAGTAATGACTTTCTACCCACAGCTCGCATGTTCTTCATCAAGTTTGTCATTTCATCAAGAATTCGGTTTTGTTCTTCAATTGCTAAACCATATGCATGACAACGGGTTCTAGCATCCGCTCTCGGTACTCTTACGTTCATAGTGTCAAACCAATCGTTAGTCTAAGTAAATATAATTCACAATTTCAAACTATTATCTAATTATTTAGGACTTTTACCACTTTAAAAAGCTGATGGCATTCACTCCAATTAAGCCCATCTAAAAATCCATGACTAGCAGCCCGTGTTATAGATTGAGCAACTGTATGTGAAAATAATTTTGTTGCCAATTTAACTTTCTGTCGCTGGGCTCCTGTTACATTTAAATTTGCTACGGATATTTTGTGCGTTATATTTACATCTCCTGATGACACCTCCAAAAGCTTTGTAATTATATCCTTTTGAACAATTTTCTGATCGACAATAAAGCCACTGTCAATAAAATGGTTGCGCAATAGTTTTATCATATGCGGAACATCCGCAAATGAAAAAACTTGTTCATTTTCAAACAAAAACCTGAACATAAATACAAATGGTGATTTAAATTGTTAATTAAGAGTGTTTTGTTTTACCATGGGGCCTCTTCAGTTACTCCAAGTTCATTTAGTAGCGCTCTGTTTCCACCACCCAGATCAGAAACCATTGCAACAACTGTGTACCCACATGATTTTAGCTCCTCTAGAATTTCAAACAAAATAGTTTTAGTCATTTGACAGTCAAAATTATAAAAAATCGGCTGTTTCCATTTGGAAATGAGTCCTGAAAATTAAAAAAGGCAATGAAAACATTAATTTAAACATTTTGTAATTTTAATTTACCTCTGACCATAGCTACTTGAGCATAGCTAACTGGACCCAATGTAGTATCTGTTGATTTGTTATAACAGTATGACTTTTTAATTTTCATCTCACCAAAACTTAACACGCAAAGTTTTTGAATGTCAGACATATGATTTGACTTTGATAAAACTTTAAAAACTGGTTTTAGCAATCCTTTATTTAAATCTACTTTCTGCGCCTAGCTTTGTAAAGTACGAACTGACGGAAGAGGAAAATGTTTGCGGTATAAAAGTTTGTATAGCTTTGCACTTGCGGCGTACAACGTTATTGACTGCGTTATATCTTCTTCAGTCCATAATTGTCTTTTCATGCCATTCTTTAGTTTTGCTATTTGTCCGCGAGTAAATATTACTGAAAGTTTTTGCTCTATATTTTCAAGCTCGTAATTTGTTTTTTTTATCTGAGTTTTCAACTCTTCAACGTCCTTTTGGTGTAATTGTTTTAGTACCAAAATTTCTTGGTGATGACTGCTTATTTGTGTGTTATTATCGCTTTTTAAAAGTTTGTTTTCATTCCGAAGATTTTGTCTTTAAATTAAAAAGTCATTGTCTATAAATTTTGAATGAATACTAACGCTACTTACACCTCGGTCCTTAAATTTTTAAGTTCTTCCATACATAAATATGGTTGAATATTTTCGGAACCAATGTCTTCAATAATTGTTTTAAAATTCCCGTGTTTTTGGACGTCATCGGTGATATTTTCTTTTTGTTCTATATTTTTAATGCAATTATATTCTTGGAGAATTAAAGCTACCATCTTTTTGTTTTCTTGTTGTTCAATTATTGATAATTGTTCTTCGCCTAGTTCTTTATTTTCAAATGGGGCATGTTTTATGGATGGAACAGTACCGGGTTTTAAAAGTCTCCTTTTAGCGAACCCTTGGGTTAATGCATATTTTTATAAATATTTTTTTTAATCAATGTTATATACCAACCCATTTCGTACTGCAACCTATTTTCCACATCTTCATCTTTAAAATGTAGCATGCATACGTATGATGTTTTGGGATTTATTTGTTTCTCACGGTCACAAAAACTTACCCATTGCTTCTGAATGGAAGCGTCCGTCGGAAATAAAAAAAAAACTAATTTCGCACGCCTTGGAGTTGTTGGTGCTTTTGCAATTTTTCACAGCGCATTTCATATTTAAAGTATTTTATTTTTACAAAATTTTGTAACGTTTTTAAAATTTTTAAAATTTTTTTTTAGACGTCAATCACTTTATTTGCTGATGTGACGTAGCACATCGAACACCTGTTGATTTAAACCAAAAAAACCTGCGCAATGCGTAATCTATATTTTTATAATTCTTGAACTAATACTACTTATACAATTTTTAGCATTAACTAAATGAGAATTATAAAAATAAAAATAAGAAGAAAAAAATAAGGGTAAGTTTACACTAAATATTACACCGACATATACATCAGGGGTTACTTTAAGCACCACCGTGTTTTTTCAAATGTTTGTTATTTGAGGGTAGTTTTTTTTTTCTTTGTCATTTTGAAATGTTTGGTAAATTATGTACGTAGTACGTATTATAGCTATGACTGGCATGTTTAATGCAGATTTATTAAAAAATAACGAATATTTGTTTCTTTTCTGCTTAATTTTATATAATTATATAAATGCGAGTAACAAATAATTTTTTTATTTGCAATTAATTGAAGTAATCATGATTGAAATTCTTAAGTGTCACACATGAAATCCAAAGAACATGACAACATTTTAAACAAAACTTGTTCATTACAAATGCTTGAAGCTTTAAGATTAATTTTGATTTTAATAATGTTTCAAATCAATCAAATAGTATAATTTTTTTAGCGCATTTGTCTATTAAGTGTTAATTTTACGAAGAATAAAAACCAAAACGAATATTATTATAAAGTTTAATGGATATGATGACCTTGATCAAAAGAACTCTAACAATGAGTAAAATTTTTATTATTGTTTGCAAAAAATTCTATAGTTTTGAATTTCATTAAAGAGGGGATTTATTTGCAGAACAGACAGATGCTGCTATATTTATACAAATAATAATTAATCTTAATACTTTACTTCAAACATTTCTTAAATTGAATGTAATTAAATACTTTTTAGAGTTTGTGTTCCAAATCTTTTGTTTCCTTTTTTTTTGTCTATTTAATCCATGGTATGTGTCTTAAGTCTTTTGTTTTGCAATGCAAAATATTTTTGTGAAATTTAATATTTTATTTATTATTTATTTAATGTTCTAAATTTTACATTGAAGATGAGTTGTGGATATCAGTTTTTGTTCCTTTTTACACATTGAAATTTTTTCAAAGTTATTTTAGTTTTTGAAATACACTTTTTCATTTTTGAAAATATATGTATACGTGCAAATTTAACCATAAATAGCGCCAAATATAACAGTAAAAGTATGTAAAATATTTGATCACACAATATTATAAAACCCAAAATTACTTCCAAAGTATTTAAGGTTGCCTTATGGTCATCTAGCCACAAATCGTTTTTTTGCTGAGGAACTATGGATATTAAGTTATTTTAATTACAATAAGTTATTCTCGGCTTTGCCAGTTATTTTACTTACTTTTGAAGCTGGCTAACTCTATGGTGGAATTGGCCTCAATATTTAAACAGCTAAACACCTCATCCCAGTGGCCTTGGGAGGACAATTCTTTCAATGATTTACAAGTATGTGCCATAGTTTGTTGTTTTTTTTTTTTTTGTTATGTTTAGAAAATTTAAAGAAATTAAAAAATTATATATTTTGACAACTACATACATGTAGGGTTACACACATTCCTGTTTGATGTTAAAAATTTTGTTCTTTCGAAATCATTTAAAGTAATCGTTAATCATTTTATTTACAATATTTTTATATATTTTATTTAAATTACGTCATCTGGACAAATCAGTTAAAACATTTTATTGTTTAAAAATTATATTATTTTTTATTGTTTACAGAATTAATTATTAATTTTTATATGACTCTGGGTTAAGTGAACTTTAGTTATTTGTATTTTTATTTGATGTAAGATAAATTACTCCTACACTACAACATTTGAAGAGTGATTTTCTTACAAAATGATTTATTTATCAAACAAAGAAAATGTTGTCATAAAAAGTTGAACACACATTGTTAAATACAAATTGTTCTCACTTAAGACAGACAATCAAAGTCAAACCACTAATGACATTTTTTAAAACTAATTTTAGAATTTTTTTAAATTAAAACCATACAAAAATTAAAAAACTTCAATTATATTAAAAAAATTCATCTATTATTTAATATGTATGACATTTAAAAAGTTTTTATCGGTGGTTCGTTAAACAAAGTCGTAATTGACTAAAGTCAGTTTCCATTACAAATAGTAACGGTTTTCGAGAATGTTTAGCAACGACACAAACCATTTGAAATATACAACTAAAACAGTGTTGTACAATTTAGTACTACATTAATAATATAGTAAGGTAAATTTTATTATTGTTATTTTAATTGTATTAAGAATTGTCCACTTCTGCTTTAAAACTTCAACAAAATTTTAAAAGTAAGTTAATAAGGAAAAATATCTGCCTCTTAAAATAATAAAAATAATACTAAAATACTACTCATTAAAACCAATTAATCAAAAGAAATTACAACACTGCAATGAAAAATTAAACACAACCCTGTTGTTGTCAAAACAGCTGCAGTCGTGTTTATATTTTCATCTCTCTCTCTGTCTCTCTCTGAATGCTATTTATCTCTCTTTACACTAGACCAGTACTAACTGAAAATACTAAATATTCCTCTTGCAAAAAAAAAAAAACGTTCAGTTTATTATTTTCCGTCGTTCGATTTTGTATTGAAAAATTTTACGAAACGTGTGTGAGGTTTTCTAAATAGAAAATAATTATAAAACGAAATTAGCACTGAAGTGAAATCATTTAAATACTTGTGTCAATGTCTATGTGTTTTTTACATATAAAAGGAAAAAAATACCAAATTTAAAATAAATTATAATAAAAAGCACGCAAAACGAAAGTATTTTTCAAAGGAAATTCACATCACAGCAAAAAAGCCAAAGTAATAATAATTCAATAAAAATATGTTAATACGAATGAAATCATTAAACTAGTGCTGGTACCAAGAATGAAAATAAAGTGGAATTGTTGATAAATAAGTGTTAAATTAAATTCATAAACAACAGGTTTTTAAAAAAAATTATTTCACAAATAACACAGACGGGCAGAATTTATTTCAGTCAAAGATTTGGATTGTTGTTCGGGTCGTGTCTGTTGTTTACTTAACTGTCATTCACTCTGAAATAGGAATTGTTTGTCCTGTTAACGGGAGATTGTGCAAATAACAACAAGAGGAAAATAATAATAAATACACTGGCCAAAATAAATTGACAAAATTAGAAAAACAACATTATTTTGTCTGTGTGTACACAAGATGCCAAAGAAAAACAAAGTTGCATAATCTAATATATTTCTTAATAACGATGACGTCAATTTCAAAGTTTGTTTAATTTTTTTGGAAATTATTCTTTTTATATTTCAATCTTCTTACGTGTTTGTAAATTGTATCTTTAAAAATATTTATACTTTTGTTTATTACTTTACGAAAAGCGCCTGCGTAATTGGGTCAATTTTATGATTTAGTGTAGAAATAGAATAAAATACGTTTTTCTTAATGAATGACGTCATTTTGCTAAATTATGTTTTCTTTGAGATCATCATTGTTCAATACACAATAAAAAAAACTACAATAATTCCTCTAAAACGTTTTAAGCAGATGTAGTGCTATTCTTTTTATTTTATATTTTTTGTTGAAAATCAAACGGTTTTAGTAATTCTTTTTTATTTCACACCTTTTCATTATTTTTCTTATAATTGTGGTTTCTTTTTAATTAGTTAGCATTAGTTAGCACAATGTGATGATGAGCATCGTTAAACAGATACAAATATACTTGTGCTGTGTTGACATACATATATAAAGCTTTTATCTACTTCATTTTAGCGATTTTTTTTTTTTTTTTTTTGGTAATCATGTTTGAACGTTTTTTAGCTTATTTAGCTCAATAAGGAAGTTTTCCGAAATCTCTATACCCCATTAAGTCTAATATTAATTATCCAGAAGGAAGAAATTGTTAACCAGAAACAAAGTTACAATGCCCCTGTAAAGGACAGTCATAACCCGAAATGATAGGTAAAATCACTGGTTCCACAAATATTTAAATATGATATGGTTAAGAATATCAATATTTTGGATAAATCTTGCTCTGCTATCCTTGAAACATTAAAAAAGTGTATTATGATATTTATCGTTTATTTCGGACTAAGTCAAAAATTAATTATCATTGTTCTGTATCGCATTGACTATGATGGCCTCATCAAAGTCATTTTCAAAGTTCATTATCTATTGATGGCCAAACCTAAGTCTCTCAGAGAAATTTGAACTGTTTTCAAACTTTTAAAATCCAGTAGAATTCTAACATTCTCGAAATTTCTTCCAATTCTTTCAAGTTAACAGCATTGACAAATAGAAAACTTTATTTTTTATTTATTTATATTTTTTTGTATATTTCTACTCCATTCAATTCTCTTAGGTATCATTTATTATCATTTAGGCTGACTTCCAAAACGTACCAATACAAAGTTTGAATACAATTTTATTGCGGTATTTATATCTAGTACACATGTAAAGTTTCAAAACATTGCAACGATGCTTTGTTTATTTTCACGTTCTAAAATATAGAAGATGCAAAGTATTGTTTTTAGTAAATCAGCTGTTTGTGTAGTTTTAGCAAATAAGTTCAACAAGCATCAACTTTAAAACTGATGCTCTGATTGCCATATCGCTGCGTTTCTAATACTTGTCGATGACGTTTTGAAACAGTATGCATTGTCAATATTTTGTACTGCGGCGTTATGAAACACTATACTTTGTTCGTACACAAAGCAACTGACGTTTTGGAAGTCAGCCTTACTCTTCATGGCATTGCCTTCATTCTCTTGATTGTTTTTATTGTTATTTATGTATGACTCTTTGTTCGTTTGTTTTCGTAAAGTTGCTATTGATTCCACAATCAAAGTATCTCGGTTGGTTTTTGCCAATTTTGGCATGTTGCCTTTATCAAACAACGAGTTTTTATATTTTCTAACTTCAGAACACATATTTTTTATCGTTAAACATAAATAGGAAATCATATTTTACACAAGAAAAGAATCAGTGCCATTTTGCAAAGTAGATGGAGAAAATTATTGTGGGTTGATATTTAGGAAAGTGAGAATATTTTATAAATTCTTTAAACATTCATTAACGATGTAGGTTTTATTAGTGAGTGTAAGTTTGTTTTGATTTAATATTTTTAAGCTTATACAAAAGAATTCTGATTTAAAAGGTTAATTTTTAAATAGTTGAAATGCTTGTTCATATCTGTTAGTTCGCATTTTACATTAGATGTAGGTATAATTTAATGACTTTATGAGTCGATTTTGCTGTGTCCGAGCGTATGTAAGTCCGTTATTACTCAATTACTTTTGAAGATCAAAATTCACTTATAAACGCTAATATCACTATGAAATTCTGCATAAATAACATTAATGTACGGTCAGTTGCAGAATAATCCTCACTAAATTCCGTTAAAGCTGTTTTTCGGGGGTCTATGGGGTCTACCTAAAAACGTGGACCGATATTACTCATTTTCAATACCAAAGAAACCTTATTTAGCTTCTCCTGTATGGTCCCTGTCGCTATTTCAACAGACAGACGGACGGACATGGCTTGATCGTCTTAGATTTTAATATGGACACAGAATTATATACTTTTGTGGGTCCATGACCAATAATTCGATGTGTTACTACAAACGGAATGACAAAAACAATATACCCCCCATCTTTTTTGATGGTGGGTATAAAAACGTACATTTTATATAAGAAATAATGAATGCATACATACATATATTTCGATAAACAGTCCGGGAGATTATTTATATCTGAATCAATCTGCAATAATTACGAAATATTTTTATTCATAATTTCGTTGGCTCAATTAATTTAATTCGGAGAATTTTTTCTTTTAACAGCTTTGTGTTATGACTTTTCCAATAACATGATCATTTAATTACTCCGTTCCCATTTTATGTATTTAGTTAATTACGTTATTAACTAAATATAATTTCATACTATTTTACAAACAAATGATGTAAAATATAGTATTGTTGTTTGTATTTCTTAGAAATTATCATTATTTATGATGAAAATTGATTGCACAAATGAATACATACCATCAGGCAGTTTATAGACACTTGAAATATCTACATATGTATATAACGAAATACAACTTGAATATCTACATATTTGACTTATTTTGACTTTTAAACAGGGATGTGATATATAAATAATATTAATTCATATTATTTATGCATAAAGGTACAATGTATGTATACGACATTAATCTACATACTAAATGTAACTATTGAATTTTATATTAACCCAGCTGTTTTAAAAGTGACAAATACATAGAAACTTTGCCCCCAATTAAAGTAGATTATATTTTATAGAATAGTTATAACAAAACTTGCAGTAATGCAATTACAAAGAGAAAAAGGCTCAATTAGTTGTTCCTTCGATGGCATTACCCATATTATATTTTCCAACTAAAAATATTATGTATTTTGAACGTTATTTGGTGGTAGTTTTCTTATTAGTTAACAAATTCAACGTTGCGGAACTAGTTCAATGAACTACAGGGTATATACGAAATTTGTCCGATATGTGTTTATATAGACACAAAAATAAAAGTACTTTTACAACTACATAGTACTTATATACAAATGCTATGTATGTATTTGTTATAAGGTTTATAGGTATATGTACAAATAAAATAATTAAGTAATGTAATATGTACAATAAATGTAAATTACATTAAAGAAGTGGTATACTTTTCGCGACACAGACTACAAACCGCAAACAGTTTTATTAAACTATGTATATATGTATAAACAAGTAAGAAAGTATAGTCGGTCATGTTCGAGCATATAATACTCTACACCAGTTTTGAAGTATTTATAATGTTTTTTTGATACAATGATTTCAATGTTTATCAAATGGGCAATTTTATGTCAAGTGACCCAACTCAAAAAATCGAGTTTGATGAAATTTGCACCAAGGCCAGACACATATTTTCAGCTCTATCGGTCAAGCATTGCCGGACTTAGAGGGGATCAAAGTTGGACATTTTTGTCCTACAGGGTTTTATTCAAATGAGTTTAACTTCTCACCTATTGGTCCTAGCAAAGGAGTTCAGATAGCTATTTCTTCACTTTTTCAAAAAAATAATATTTTTTTTTCAATTTAGGCCCTTTTTGCTCAAAACAAAGATTATACAATTATCCCATATAAATGGGATGCGGGTGGAATATCTATCAAAAAAATATTTCTTAACTCAAGAATGAGATTTTTTCAATATATGGCTCAATAAGAATAGCTTAGATAATTTCCTTTAAGGTCTTTGTGCTTACTTAGTGGGGACCCAAATTTGAGTCTGGCATACTATCCAATACTTATAACCTTGGTATAAATTTCATCCAAATGGGTCACTTGACACTTGATCTCTATCACAGAAGTAGTAGCAATTTAATAAAATTAATACTTGCAATTGTCATATTCGTTTAAATTATTCATAATTTATAAACTAGTATTATTAAATGTATTAATCATATTATTTCTTATAAATGTATTAATCATATACATAATTTCTAAAGAAAAGTAAGAAAATTACTCAATAGTTTTCCTTTCAATTTACATGATTAAATATGTAAATATTTTATTTGTCTTTAATATCGATTTTTTGCATTCATAGTTTCAAGCGTTCAAACACCTTTTGTACTAAATACTTAGTTATAATAATAATAATATACTGTTATTAATAAAAAATAACGAAACTATTGCCAGTAATTCCAAAGTTGAACAAAGTTGGTTTTGTAAATAACAAAAAATGCATAATGCATATATGAATGTATGAATGTATATAAAATATATTTATAAATAGGTACAATTTTATTGTATTAATGCTTC